TGTTAATGTACTCCCGTTGGATTATTTACTAGGGACAATTTAATTTAAACGGTTGTTACTTTATGTCTGAAATTTTTATCATTCTTATTTCCAAACCCTTGAAGACGGAGGCTTAGACTTACGTAACATTGCAGTCATCAGCGGCCAGTCTTAAGGTACATTTTAATAATTGAATAGACAACATTAGGGGGTAGTAGCGTAAACCAAGGTATTGCCATAAGCATAAGATCTGATAATAAATGCTTTTAAAAATAAAGTTAACTGTTATGTTGTCAGTAGGCGAAAGCATAATTTTGGTTGACAACAAAATTTTGTATCTATTTAAATATCTGACATTTTTTTTTTATTTTTTTGCAACTGTGTACAGCAAACGAGCTGATAGCCTAACTGGTGGGAAATAGTAACTGTCACATAGATATTAATAGTATTTAGACATCGAAGTATGGTTATTTTTTAAGGACAGAGTATTATGTTTATATATTTTGTAATTTTACCACCATATCCCTTCAAAATGAAACATAGTTAAAAAAAAAAAATAAGCACAGCTATTTAGCTTCAGAAACACGAGAGATCATCATCATCATCATCACAATAGCTATTAAATGTCCACTGTTGGACAATAGGCCTCCCCTGTAATGGGGTGCTGCTATAGATCTAAGTCAATTATTTTTATGTAAATTCTCCCTTTGGTAATAATGATATACTTACCACTTTAATTATTTTGATAACAGATTTAATTAATACTAAAAATGGTGGTAAATTCACTCTAGAGTTTTGGTATATTAACTACTATAATTATACCTTCTCGACGAATTTTTTTTTTTATGAAACTTAAAATAGCAAATAATTCCCATAACTGTCTCATTTAATAATAATAATTTAGAATTCTAGATTCTATTACATTTCACCCTTTAGCACAAAGATCGACTAGTACAGAATGCCAATGAGTATAATACTAGGACTGTTACGATTATTGTAGTGTGTAAAAAAGTAAAGTAAATAATATTTCTATGTAAGTTAAAACTATATTACACAGGAGAGTGTACTATTAGCCGGGGTTGACAGTATTTTTTTTTATTTAGTTACAAAACCTGCAATAATTAAAAGAAAACACTACAACTTCTGCTACCTATAGCCGCATCACTGTTATGTCATTATGTCCTACATATATTTTAGTATTAAGCATGTATATTATAAGATACCTTGTACTTACCAACGCCAGTTGAAGTTACGCAAGTCGCTTTCCTGACTTCACATCACAGTCTTTTCTCTAATCGTTATCAATTAAACTTTTAATAAATGAAATAATTAACATAAGATCGTCATATCATTAGATATACTTTTTAGTAATAAAATCACTATTATATGTATTTTTTTTATAAACAGTTTAATCACAACACTATGGTATTCATTATCACTGGCACGAAATAAATTATAATGATGAAAAGAAAAAAATATTTTTAAAAATCGAATTACACATTCTAAATTGGAACTGGTTCGCAATGGCTGTCAAATAATATTTTGGCGGGGTCTGGCTAAATATTTAATTTAGTTTATTTTTAAAGGGCCTGGTTTTTTAGTCTTGTACATAGCATGGCGTGTGCATTCGCCGCTGGGGCTGTGGCGGCGGCGGTATCGATGGGTCGCGCCTGCGCGGACATTGCACCCCTATTGACAGGGGCGTATTTGGGTACGGTAGGCTTTCGAGGATTCCATTTGTAGTTTAGAAGTATCGCATAATACTGTACAAAAGAGGTTCCAGATGACATAGTTTTAATATCAAAGTGAATTTTGAATAAAGAGACAAATATGATGAGTGTAAATAACTTTGGTTGGTATGGATACGTAGAGAAAATATCACAAAATATTAAAAATGATGATTTATTTATGGTTGTAATGTAAATGAATATATAATGTATAACGAATAATCTAGCTTAGTTCAAACATAGTCTGTTGATTTTTTTATATAGTAAAGTGACAATCAAGTATGTGAATGATATATCAACTCTTGCAGTAAGATGATAATGTTGAGACATTACACGTAGTAAAAAAATTTTATCACGTCTCATGGTTTAAACACTGGATCATCATCTTTGTTTAGCGTTAGAGTATCATCAACTTTGTTGATTTGCAATTGCGTTTAAACTTTGGTGATGATTTAAGAGGGACGCTGCCTTCTGTCCTTCGACCATTAAGTTCCATTAGTCGCCTCTTATGACACCCGTGGGAAATGAAAGTGTAGCCCATTCTATGCCAGGACCACACGGCATAGTGGTAGAGTATCAATGAGACAAATCTACCTATGTAAGCAAATTTAGTCCTATTCTTAGCAGTATGTACTGCGGAATCGATCTATAATACTTTATCCCTTGGATTAGGGCTTCTCAAATTTATAGTTCCACGTATTCCTATTAGTTCTTCTAGATTACGGTGAAGCTCTTAAATAGACTGACTATCCATAAACCAAATAAGATAGATAGATGGATACTATTTATTGTTTCCTCCAAATGATTTTTTTTTATACAACTTAGAATGGCAAACAAGCTGACGGCCCACCTGGTGGAAAGTGGTAACCGTCGCCTATAGACATGAGCAGTACCATGGACATAACAGAGTATACTGTTTCGCCCATGATACCCCCGATGCGTTGCCATTCCTGAGGACTCAGGTGTTATTCCTCTGTACCCAGTAAATTGACGCCATATCCCACCCTTCAAACCGAAACACAGGCATGCAAACACAACTGCTTCACGGTTGAAACACGAATGGGACAGAGGTACCTAAGCAATCGACTTTTGTACAGTCTCCCTCTAGTACAATAGTAAACTTATTGTTGATAGAAACAATTACAAGAAATAATCACAATCAGAAAACATACAAGGTATTTAAAAAAAAACAATTGAGTGAAGGATAAATCTTATTTCTATTATTTAGTCACTTCAGTGTGGTAGATGTGTAATGATATATGTGCACGACGCACCTTTTAGTTTCTTTTTTAATTTTATTAAAAAGATGTTTTGTTTGTAATTTGAAGTGTGAGTCAGTTAGGTTTTTGTTTTCGTTCGCCTTTTTACTCCGTTGGTGTAATATTGTTTATATTATCTTTCTAAAACACCGTATAATACAGTCCTTTCGCCCACAATATAAATTCTCAGAGAAAATATGAATGTGTGTGTGCGCGTGCGAATCAGCTAAGCTGTCGCATTTTCGCTGCCATTATCTAAATGTTGTCGCGTACGCTTTACGATTGGCCAACTGGTGTATCCCAAGTGGTGCCTGTATCCCACTTTTAGAAACCCTACCTTAGATAGAAAACATTGTGGTTAATTCGTACTAAGTTTGTCTGGTGAGCCAACCGACTTGACTTTATCCTCACTGGGAGAAAGGGATTGTTAGTGAGATTTAACAGCCTTATTGCTAGTAATCAGGTTGACCTTCACGCGGTTTCCCCTGGAAACTATAGTGGTTTTTTTTTATGGGTGAAAATGCAATGGTAACCCCGCCTGCGCTAACGGAATACGCTGGCGGAGCACCAGTGAAGGGTGATTGATGAGAATGAAAACAAGCCAGTTAGCCCATCATGATGAATTCATCAGGAATTAATCATGAATGTTTCCAGGGGGAACCGCGAGGAGGTCGACTGGTTGGGTATATTGCTAGCAATGGGATTCTCAGTCTCCGTCACTTACAATCCCTTTCCCCCCAACTATAGTGGTTAATTCTTGTTTAATGGATCACTATGGGTTAACTAATCTGCTTACATTCTCACCTGTCACTCTTCACTGGAGCCCCACCAGCGTATACCGATAGCACAGGCGGAGTTACCATTCCATCTCCACTCATTAAAAAAAAGACTTCATCCTCATTTAACATCATTCATTTCACCTCTTCTTCCAGTTTATTCTATTAAAAAGGAGTCCTGTCTCTGGTAAACGTAAATGCGTATTCCAACCCTAAATGAGACCTGTAAAATCAGAGTACCTTCGTACAGGCATTACGTGTAACGACAGTAGCCGAAGAATGCCGAAGTCGCCACCTGCTTGAAGTTATCACCGACCATTCTGTGTTGATCCGATTCTATCCGTTCAGCTATGAAATGTATGTCAAATACGTCACTGAAGAAGGGTTCGTGCTAGGTTGGTTTAGTTTTACGAGCCATGCGCAAAAACCTAACAAAATAGGCACTCGTATAATGCCGCCTATGCGACAATGTTATTCCTGAATTTTATGTGCCATTCTAAATATGTTAACACATTATTTAGCATGATCCCTGTTTCGTTTTCGATATTGGAAATGTTATACTTTAGGAGAGTGTTACCATGTAAGTAGTAGCGATGTTAAGGACTAGGTTGTGACAGAGTAATTAGCTTGGAAAATGTAGGAATTCAATGTAACGTCTCATTCATTTATCATCTTATCATATAAGCCTTTAGCTGTCCACTGGTGAATTTAAGCCTCCTCTTGGGGTGTTTTGCCAGTAGTTGTCACATTTGGCAAGTGAAATGGCAACCGTAGTTAGGTTAAGGAGATGTTTTAAGAGGGACGCTGTTACCCATCCTTCGCCCTCCTTCAGTCGTCTCTTATAACACCCACGAGAAAGGAAGGGGTGGCCTATTGTTATTGCCTAGATTTATTAAGAGTGCATTTTTTTTTATACAACTTAGAATGACAAACAAGTTGACGGCCCACCTGACGGAAAGTGGTAACCGTTGCCTATGAACATGAGCAGTACCAGGGACATAACAGAGTATACTGTTTCGCCCATAATACCCCCCATGCGTTGCCATTCCTGAGGACTCAGGTGTTATTCCTCTGTACCCAGTAAATTCACGCCATATTCCACTCTGTTATGTTCATGCTACTGCTCATGTCTATAGGCGATGGTTACCACTTTCCATCAGGATCCAAGTGATCCATCACGTTTCATCATTCCATATTTATACTAATTCTAATAACCTTTAAACGATTAAATAATATATTTTTACAAAAAAAAAAAATAATTGCCATTAAATATAAATATATTTGTATATCAATACTCAATTTAACTTTAGTACTACAAATAAATAAGTCTTTGGTTTACATATTTCTTAAAATGTATTAAATTTGTGTGCCGTGGTCGTGGCTCACAAAATAGGCAGATGACGTCACTCCATCCAATTACATTAGTATTATGGATTGGGCAATCCTGAAAATACACGAAACATTTATTACAATAAATATATCAATTTAATTTAGTACCTATCGGAAATCAATAAAGAAAATAGGCTTTATAACTGTGTCTTAGGATATTGTAATATTTTGTATAGAGACAAGACTTATTACTATGTATGCACAATATGTATGTATCTATATACGCAAGCTCCTTTAAGGGAAAGGCAGAGAGAATTGAGTGTAAACGGCTCCTGTCCTTAAATAAATCTCTTGCTTCATCCGTTTTCTTTAAGGAAAAAAATTCTAAGAGCAGTGACAGCGCGGTTGGAGAGACTTCCACCCACTAATCTTTGTTAATGTCGTTTTAATTATCTCAGGCTGCAATTTGTCTATGCCAAAAAGCTTAAATTCCGTCCGGGGGTCCTAACCGGTGATTTTTTTATAATAATGTTCAGTTAATTTAATATATTGTCTTTACCTTTATGCTTGAAAGAGCGCACAAAGTTGTCGTCCAGTATAAATGCAAAATCACATTTAGTTCACTATATCTAGCTAACAAATAAAACACCTAACTTACAGAAACATACGGAAGACTTGTAAACCTTACAGGCTTATTGCCACTATGTTATTAGGAAACCGAATAAACTTACTGTAAGTCCCAGACTGTAGTATCGTTTTAATTTTTCTTGCAGCTAAATATATTAAGGCAGTAGAAACAGCACCAACTCCAAGTATAGCTAATAGTATGACTAATTGTCTCGCCTTTTTTTCTGCAGACAATTTCTCTTCATCTCCTAATATATTTCTTGTAATTGATGCATTGTTTATTATATCATTAATTATATCTGTGATACTTTCCGTAGTTGTAACTTCTTTTACATTGTCTTGAGTATTTTCTTTTGTACTATCTATATTGGTCCATAAATTGTTTTCTGTAGTTATTTCTATACTATTATTATAGTAATCTGTACTTGTTAATATTGACGTTTTACCCAATATAACATCGGAACTTTCTGTTTCAGAATAAATTTCACTTGTACTTTCTATATTATTTGTATCTTCAACTGATTCTGTTGTTGCGTAATCAAAATTTATAATTTTGCTTTTATATATTTCCGTTAGATTACTTGGTGATGTATTATTAGGAGTTAAATATTCAAATGGATCTGTGATCAACATGGTTCCCGAATTATTTTCACATATAGTAATGTTCAAACAATTCATTGTAACTATACAGTTCCTGTCAATTGTTTTCAAGTCAATTGAATTTGGACGGCATACTATTTCATCCCAATTGTCCAATGAACTGGAAATAAAACACTTTTAAATTATTGGATTTAGAGATAATTGTGGGAGTGGACTGAACTGGCGTTTGTCACTTGGAGTTTTGCCTATTAAGTTGTATATATTCTGATGTAGACGTTGAAGATATATAATAATTGGGATAATTGGGATTGGATTTCCTCATAAAATCTAGAGTGCGATTAAAGAGATTTTAAGTTCTTTTTTAGAGTTGAAGTTTGCAAAATTTAGCTCCCACTGTTGGAGTTGTTGTTTTCACTGTTGTTTTCAATAGTTTATCGTTGATATTGTTTGCTGTTTCACAGTACACCAGGCATTATTTACCAGCAGACTTACAGATTGGTTCGATGCAAATTTTATCAAAATCGATTCACTAGTTTAGTTTAACAATCAAAATAACTGGTTTTACATAATCTAATTATTTAAAAATAAAATAAATATATGATACGCTACTCGTTCACGTTATGATTAGCGTGAATGAACAATGTGAATGGACTTCCAAAACCCCTCAACCGACTTTAATGAAATTTTGTACTTGTTTTTCGGGATGGCTAGAAGTTTAATAAATAAAATAATACAGTTAGTGACTAATATATAAATAGTCAACGTTACAATATACTGATGCACTAATTACATCACTTCTGTGAGTCAGAGTGGCTGATATCAGTTATCACCACTGCCCAGCACATACGTACATAAAATTAGTAGTAATCAATTTGTTAATTGATAAATTCATCAATTTTAATTATAAATTGTAATAAATTAATATCTTATATATTAATTTATCTATGAGAGTAGCCACTTAAATGGTTGTTTTTATCATTCTTCATTGACGTATTTAATAAAAATGTTTAAGTATTTGTACAATATACTTATTACTGAATTAAATTAGATTGTCATGTGGTCCCGACATAGAATAGGCCACCCCTTCCTTTCCCGTTGGTATCGTAAGGGGCGACTAAAGGAACTTAATGGACGAGGGATGGGCGGCAGCGTCCCTCTTAAAACATCACCAAGGCTTATCCTGCCATTGGTGGCAAGTACTGGCAAAATCCTTCAAAGAGGAGGCTTATGCTCAGCAGTGGACAGGGAAAGGCTGATATGATGTGATGATGGCGTGGTATGGAATTAGATTAGATAATGATATATATTTATTTCTTGTTGAGGAAATTATAAATTTTTGTTTCTTGTTTTTAAGTCAGTCCTTTGCTGTATGTACATGTACAATGAAAATTTTACGAATTTGTCGTATCTACAAGCTGCAGCCCGCGGGGGGAAAGAGATTGTTACCAATGGAGTTTGATCCATTGCTAGCCAATATACCCTAATAGGTCGATCTCTACGTGGTTTCCCATGAAAACCATCGTGAACAATTCTTGATGAATACGTCACGATGGGTTAAATGACCTACTTCATCCTTACCTATCATCTCCCACTGGTGCTCCGTTATGGAATACCGATAGCGCGGGTGGGGTTACCATTCTATTATCATCCATTAAAAAAAAAGCTGCAGCCCGCCTTGACGACGAGGCGCTGTGACGCAAAGAGTCGTACTACCCCTGAAGAAATCTTCCGGAGGAAGTCGAATCGATTGTCGGAAACGACAAACACAGGAAGTTCATAAAATTTCCATTGTGCATGTACATAGACATTGTTAAAACATGAATGTAAGTTTTAGAATAAAGTAGTAAAGCAGTTGGTTTGTGCCAATATAATGGGATAGTGAAATTACCTGCATTAGCTTCCTACCATAACAAAAGTCAGTCTTTAGGAATGGTAACATATGAGGAGTACTAAGAGCACCGTCATGAAGTATTTTTTTTATTTCTTAAGGACTTTTACTTTCTTCAGGCAAATTAGCCCTGTTGTACCCTTAACTGATTTCTCAAATAAGATTTTATCTACTTTCCCTACTCACGGAAACAGAGGTATTAATGGGCATTAATAATTTATAGAGAGGTTCAAAAATTTCTAATTTAGATTCAGCTGATATATGTAGATTGAATTAAAAGAATGTTTAATTTATTTGGGTAAAAATGGCATACGAATGCTTTTATTTCCATCGAGTTTATACGACATTCGAACAGTACATGTTACATCATCGATGGTATCACGAACTTGACAATGGGGTGACCAAGACTATCCCATATGATATGCAAATTTTTAGGTGGATATTGGCCAGAAATGTTTGGAAACTTTTAATAGTTGGTTTCCTTCAACTCTTAAGCTGATTAATGTATTTTTTACAACACAGGGAGCAAACGAGCATGCGGCTCACGAGATGGTAAGTGACTATCGTCGCCTATGATCACTCACAACACCAAACGCATTGCAGGTGTGCTGCTGGCCTTTTAAAAAGGAATGTGATTTTTTCTTGATGGCTATGATGTCGTATCGATTCGAAAATACTGCTGCTAGAAGTTGATTCCAAAGAGTAGTTGTGCGTGGGAGAAAGTGGCTTGAAAAATGCACGGTGGAAGATCGCCACTCGTCTAGATGGTTGGCATGAAACTTTGTATGTGTAAATGTATTAATATTTCCTCCGTAACGGCAGATATTAGATTCTGTGCGGTTGATGGGCATATACTTACTTAAATATAGGCTTCAAAGTATGTGGATCCATTTCAAACAGCATATAATAATCCGTGCAGTGGGTGTGAACAGATTGAAAGAATATCTGAAAGGAACGTAGTTACAGTTAGCGGCAAAACATCTGAACAAGAAATACATTTTGCTTGCAAAATAAACGATTTCAATCAATAAACCGATGAACCACGAGATGTTTCGTGGAAAGATTACAATAAAAGTAATTGAATGCGAAATCGGATGTTTCCAAGTAAATAATTTTTTTCTCAGTAAGCAGTTTTTTTCTTTCGAAAATAGTAGCTTCAATCATATAAAGTAATATAGGGCTGACATTTGAGTAAATTCAGACAATTGCAAAGCAGAATTGTTAAAAAATGTTTCAATAAAAATCTAGTAAAAGCTAGTAATTGATACATTGTTATGACCAAATGTATTCTCTAATCTTAAAGTCACGTTTTAGTTATTACCTTACTATTGTTTTAGTGACTTATCATTCACATTATATTTTGTATATGCACATTCTGTATAAATACTCCTTGTATACATCTCTACTGTGCGCAATAAAGAGTTTATTATTAATTATTATTATACTACACAGCGTAGAGAATTATTAAGGAAAAACTTTAATTAAAATTAGTTTTTACTTCTAGTTCGCTGTGTAGTTTCTGCATAGAAGAGGCCAGCCCTTCCTTTCTCGTGGTAGGCGTAAGAGGCGACTAAGGGAACTTTATAGTCGAGGGATGGGTCAATAGTGTTTGTCTTAAAACATTATTAAAGGTAAACTGCGGTTTTTTTTTTGATGGGTGAAAATGGTATGGTAACCCCGCCTGCGCTAACGGGATACGCTGGCGGGGCACCAGTGAAGGGTGATAGATGAGAATAAAAACAGTCCAGTTAGCCCATCATGATGAATTCATCAGGAATTAACCATGATAGTTTCCAGGGAGAACCGCAAGGAGGTCGACCTGGTTGGGTATATTGCTAGCAATGGGGTAAACTGCGGTTGCCAACTCGTCTGTCAAACATGGCACTGGCAAAACCTACTAATAGAAGAAGGCCTATGTTCAGCAGTGGACATTTAACGGCTAATATGGTATGGTATGTTTTATAATAAAACTAAACTTCATATTATCATATTAGCCATTACAAAGGGGTTTTGCCAGTAGTTGCCACGCTTGGCAGGCGGGTTGGCAACCGTAGTTAGGCGGGAGGAAAGGGATTGTTAGTAATGGAGACTAAAAATCACATTGCTAGCAATATACCCAACCAGGTTCACCTCCTCGCGATTCCCCCTGGGAACTATCATGGTTAATTCCTGATGAATTCATCATGATGGGCTAACTGGCCTGTTTTCATTCTCATCTATCAGCCTTCACTGGTGCTCCGCCAGCGTATCCCGTTAGCGTAGGCTGGATCACCATTCCATTTTCACCCATCAAAAGAAACCGTAGTTAGGCTTTGGTGATGTTTTAAAAGGAAAGGGCATCTCTCGACAGTTAAGTTCTCTTAGTCGCCTCTTACGACACCCACGGTACAGGAAGGGCTGGTCTATTCTATGGTGGGACCACACGACAATTTATTATAAACATCAATGTAATATTTACCGAATACAGTAGGATGTTATAATAGAATTCCATACTCGTTTCTCACTTAACACTAATTTCTGTAAATCACTAAATATAATAGTTAACAGCTGTGTATTCTCTGAGAATTTTCAATGAGGTATAACATATATAATTAAGCAGTGATCAATATGTATTTAATATTTTCCTGTTACAATATGTATACTTTAGAGGCAATTGAATGCATGAAGACAGTTTCAATAGAATTTACAACTAAACGTGTTATTATTCATTCAATAATGTTTATTTATAGTAAAATTACCAGAGGGAGACTTTGTACAAAAGTCGATTGCTTGGGTACCTCTGTCCCATTCGTGTTTCTACCGTGAAGCAGTTGTGTTTGCATGGCTGTGTTTCGGTTTGAAGGGTGGGATATGGCGTGAATTTACTGGGTACGGAGGAATAACACCTGAGTCCTCAGGAATGGCAACGCATCGGGGGTATCATGGGCGAAACAGTATACTCTGTTATGTCCATGGTATTGCTCATGTCTATAGGCGATGGTTACCACTTTACATGAGGTGGGCCGTCAGCTTGTTTGCCATGCTAAGTTGTATAAAAAAAGAAGGGATTATTAGTAATGCGGGCTACCAGTCCCATTATTAGCAATATATCCTATCAGGTCCACTTCCATGCGGTTCCCCCCGGAAACCATCGTGCTGAATTCCAGGTGTCTTTTAACTCTCATTTCTCACTTGTGCTCCACCAGCGAATACCGTTAGCGCAGGCGGGGTTACCATTCCATTATCATACATTAAAAAAAAATATTCTCTATCTAAATATACTTGTTCCGTCGTTTGAGTTATAAAAAAAATGTGGTGTTTGCAATAAAATACTTTTGAATTAAGCAAAGTTATTTACGTATTATTGATTAAAATGTGAAAATTGTAGGTGAACGTTATTAAATAAATAAATAATAGTACATTACTGCAGCGGCCAGTAACTGAGGCATTGATGGATGAACGTACAAATGTGGGCCGAGGCTTAGCCGAGGTACACATACGTGAGTCCATCAATGCCTAGTTGTGGCCAAGGCTTGTATAGTACTTTTCTCAAACAATGCGCGAAAATCAAAAACACAATTTTACTTTTGAAGTTCAATGACGAATAACGAACATTAGTAATTGTTCACGCGCCATAATGTTCCTTTCTATTTGCAAGTTAGTTCGAAATTTAAAATAAAAGCTTTTATTAGTTACTTCCTTGGTAGCCATGTTCGAAGGAAAAGTTCATTCCATTTTTAAATTACATGACAGATATAAGTTTACATAGTAATTTATCTGGCTGCAAAACACGACAGATATGGATTTTCATACAACTTTTGCCGGCCGCTGCCCGCATGTATCTATCTGGCCAGTACGGCAATTTTGATTTATCTCGAAGAAGATTGTCAAAATAAAGCTCACATTTCCGAGCATGTTTGAGAAAAATATTTTACTGAATAAATTGAAATACAATTCCTCAAACGCTAGTCTCGAAATTCTCGCTTACTTCACATAGCAACATTCGAAGAACGCTTTATGTATTGTACTTTTTTATATTATATCCTTATATCCTAATCTTAATAATATGATAGTCATTATCAGTCGTTATCAATTAGTTTCTGAAACATTTCACTGGGTGACACTGCGTGTCAATGATCCCGACGCGCTCCCGCTTTCTGTGAACCCGAGTCACCATTATCTATGATAACATGTTATTTTATACTAATAACAATGTATTATTGTCTGTCTGTATATCTAGTATAATAAATATAAAATTTACATATATTTGGATTATTGTCGCTTAATTACGTTTAAATGACTGAACGGATTTGAATTAAATATGGTACATAGATAGATCATATTCTAAATTAATAGTGGGATATTTAATGCGACTTTTTGACTTTGGGTTTGCTGGAAGAGAACTATAACAGAACTAAGGTCGTCTGTTCAATATGTTTATTCAAAATAATTTATTAAAACATAAATAAATAAATAAAATATTTTAACTGTAGTCGCGCGGATAAAGCTGTGTGATATAGCTAACCTATAAAATTTATTTATATATTTATTAACTCTTTATTGCTCGAAGAGTTCTATCTCTCTCTCTTTTTCTCACATGCTCTCTCTCTCTTTCTCTCACATTCTCTCTCTTTCTCTCTCATATATTTCGAACGTTTACAAGTACTTTTAAATCGTAAGTCTTTTTAATCTATTGCGGTATTCGGAAAGTTGTTATTTGTTGAGAAGAGCCCGCAAGAAACTCAACAGTTATTCTTTTTAATAGCCGGTGGACAGCAGTTTCCATCAGAGGGGGTCATCTGCTTGTTTGCTATTCTAAATTGCATAAAAAAAATATCGATACTGGGTCAAAATAGGAGATGTTAAAATTTTTCCTTTGTGTATTAATCTTATAAAAACTGTTTAGTAATTTGTAATGTGGTGAAAATTACGAGATGAAATGGAAATCAGATTGTTCTCCAAGTAAAATAGTTTTTTTTTTTTGTATTTCAGCTGTTGTTTCTTTGTGAAAAATATTTATTTTCTCTGATAGAGCATATATCTTAAATTTCACGATTATAGGTAAAGCCGTTAAGACTGCGAGCATTAATAAACAAACAAAATCACTTTGAATTTTACTGTGCAAGTATAAACATATTTATGTTAAGGTTGTACAGTTGTACAGTATATTTATACTATAACCTTTTTATTAATATTTAAAATAAGCCACTGTGGTCCCGGCATAGAATGGGCCACCTCTTTCTTTCCCATGAGTGTCGTAAGAGGCGACTACCCTTAGTCTTACTTACATAGTGGAGTGATGGACAGCAGCGTTCCTCTTAAAACATCACCATTGCCTAACTGCGGTTGCCAATCTGCCTGCCAAGCATGGCAACTACTAGTAAAACCCTCCCTTTGTGGGGGAAACCTATGTTTACGTACAGTTAACGGGTATGATACTCATTTAGTAGAATATATAAATTTATATAAATATAGACTACAATGTCAATGCATCGTACTTCTTAGGTTTCCTATACCAAAAATATCAATTACAATACATATTATTGTACTAATTATGCAAGCGTAGTCGGCTGCAAAAATGAGTCATATCTAACAATGGATGGGCCGTTGTAATTTATGCCTATTAAAATAAGGGTTGAAATAGCTTGATTTTGTATAATGAGGTCTTCGTATTAATGATATGGGCATTTAAAAGTAGTTTGGGCGATAGTACGATACGTTCATACTCTCATTGTCTCGATACCATGATGGTAGTGCTTGTTTAAAAGCTTAAACAACTTTTTGCGTGTGTGAAGTTTGACACAGAGAGAATATACTACTTAAGTGTAATTGAGAAAGTGGGCAGTGGTTCCAGAATGGTGTCAAAGTTGTTTTGTGTATTGTTTGTGCTGTGCTGTTTGGATTTTGCGTGTCACGTCTCAGCTTTGAAAGCGGGCGAGGGGGTGTGCACAGCGAAATCAAGGTGTTTATGTTTTATTATATTTATTTATTAATTTATTATAATAAGGATGTCTGGAAGAGATTGCTTAGCTATTGCTAACCGACCGCCTTTTGTATTACACTATACTCATTGAAAATTCTTTAACAAGTCTTGTAATATTGGTGCAATAAAGTGGTAAATAAATTTGTCTAGCACCAAATATACCAGTCGCCTAGTATTTAAGTATGTAATATGTAAATGATAGTCTTTTAAGGCAAGATGGTATCTTTTCTAAATTGGAACGTAGGAAAAATCGAACGTAGAACCGCATTCGCGTGAGATAAGTTTCTATCACTAAAAAGTTCGTACATATTACATTTTAATGTAATAAAATGCAGTCAGTTTCGCGCGCATGTCGAAGTCGTTAAAGACTAAGGGTCCTGAATGGTCCGGAAAACAGTCGAGCTTTTTTTAATAAGGCAACCTGGTACTTATTATTGTATTGTATTGTAAAAATCTTTATTGTACATAAGTCAGATTAAATACTAGTAAATGATTTAGTATACAATGGCGGACTTATCCCATAAAGGGATCTCTTACAGTCAACCTTTGAGAAGCTGAAAGAAAACTGTAGAATGTATAAGGGTAATAACCGTACAATTAAAGATAAACTAAATAATACCCAGTAAAAAAAAAAAATTGAATATATAACACAATAAAAACAGCTCTATATACCTACATATGTAAATAATAAAAGTAAATTAATAATAATATAACATTAATAAATAAAAACTTATACACATACACATACATATATACACATATACACACATACATATACATATATATATATATACATATATATACATACATACACATACATATATACACTCCTACATACACATACATGTATACATAATAAATACATATATTCACAATTGGCTCAATGAAGAGGGATTTTCAAAATAAAATTTTATGATACCTGCTTTAAAAGATTTCAGCGACTGTGCCATCTTTAAGTTATTAGGAAGTGAATTCCAGAGACATGCAGCATGTACAGTAAATGACATGGCATAGCTTTGAGTATTAAAACAAGGCAAATCTATAATGAAGTCATTACTGCATCTCAGGCGAACATCAATTTCGCGAAATTTGAATCTTTCCTGAAGGTAATGTGGACATGTTGGATTAAAAAGGATATTGAAAAGAAGAGTAAGAATGTGGACATTTCTCCGTAGCCTGATAGGAAGCCATTTGAGTTGACTGCGATAACTAGATATGTGGTCATACTTTCGAAGGTTATAGATGTATCTAATACATTGATTTTGCAGTCGCTCAAGTTTATCAAGAAGCTCCTGTGTGGGATCTAGGTAGGCAACATCAGCATAGTCTAGAAGAGATATTATATTAAAATTATAAATGTTAATAAAAAGATTTTGCTTTCTGCTTGGGTACTTCTGTCCTACTCTTACTTCTCTCGTGAAGTAGCTATGTTAGTGCTTTATTGTTTTGGTTTGAAGGTTGACATATGGCAGTAAAACTAGCAGGCATAATACCATAGTTACAGGCCCATACGGATGAAGTATACAATTTGCGTCACAGTACATTTTGTGATATTTACAATACTGTTAATGTCTATAGACGATGGTCACCATTGTCCATCAGGTGGGCCGTCAGCTGATTTCAATTCTAAACTGTATGTAGGAATTTTGACTGAAAGCTACGGTTCTGGCGTTTCGTCATCACTTTCCCCCCCATCGACACATTGTCGATGGGGGGGAAAGTGATTGTTAGTAATGGAGATTGAGAATCCCATTGCTAGCAATATACCCAACCAGGTCGACCTCCTCGCGGTTCCCCCTTAAAACTATCATGGTTAATTCCTGATGAATTCATCATGATGGGCTAACTGGCCTGTTTACATTCTCATCTATCACCCTTCACTGGTGCTCCGCCAGCGTATCCCGTTAGCGCAGGCGGACCTACCATTCCATTTTCACCCATCAAAAAAAAAAAACACATTGTCGATCATCCATGTGTGATTTTTTTAAAAATAATTCTTTAATTATGTTGAATTCCGTTGCTTTGCCTCCATGGATAAGTATGTAAAGTATTCTATGTTCCAAATTGGAATATAATTTATCCATGTAACAAATTTCAATTCAACGTGAAAGTGGGCTTTTTAGGTACTTGTTAGATACCTTTTAGCGCCTCGACGGCTTAATCAATCACTATGATATTTGGTATACACGAATTTTATGGGATGGAGAAGGATATAAGCTAATTTTTTATCCCGATCAGTAAACATATCCCGGACACGAGGACGAAGTTGCCGGTGAAAATTAGCACTTGTGTACATTTACTTAATTGTTACTAGAAAGGTATCACTAAAGGAAAATTTAACAGTAGATTGCAAATATCAGAATTTTACAGTAAAATTTTTTGTCAATTTTAATTTGACCAATTTCAAGAAACTTAAGTAAAAAAAAATTTATGAAAAATTAATTAAACTAAAAGTTATAATAGATTTTTTTTTCTGGCATGTAAAATATGGTTAAAATCAGTGTTATCTCTAACAAAACGATAACAATCAACTAATGCTATCTCATTTTCTAATTAATAATGTCCTGAATAAAATACACAAAATAAAAGTTACTGGATATTTCATGTTGATTTTTCTTTAAATGGCAAACAAGCTAACAACCCATCTGATGGAAAGTGGTAGCTATGATAAGTGGTGATATGAGAAGTACCATGGACATAACAGAGTATACTGTTTCGTCCATGATATCTGTCATGCTTTGCCATTTCTAAGGACTCAGGTGTTATTCCTCTGTACCCTGTAAATTCACTGTCATATCCCACCCTTTAAACCGAAACACAGCTCTGCAAACACAACAAATACGAATAGGACAGAGGTACCCAAGCAAATGACTTTTGTACAAAGTCTCCTTCTGGTATTATTATTATTTGTTCTTCTGTGTATTATTATTATTGAAAAGGATTTATCTTATCATTAGGGCCGTATGTTTCCTAAAGCGATTCATTCGGATTTCGCGACTTCCTACTGGCCGACGAGTTGACGAGTTCGTTATTACCATTCAGTGATTAACATGATAGATTAATTTTTTTTTATATTTTGTTTTACGTAATAATACAAGTATTTAGGTAAATAAAAAATGTTTCTAAAAATGAACCTACGTCTTGATAAGGATCTATACGCAATTGTGTCAGCTGTAAATTGTCCTTTGTTGCACATAGCCTCTCATCATAAAGGGGGTTTTGCCAGTAGTTGCCACGCTTGGCAGAAGGATTGAATATCACAGTTAGGCTTTTTTATAAAGTAGTCCTTTTATATAGAAATGTATTCACGCTTTTTATCAAGGGTTCGGATTAGAAATTACCAAAGCAAGATGCCAAAACGAGATTGTGTTACACAAAAAAACCGACCTCAGTTGTGCTAACACCTGTTATTTTGACTTAAAAACTAAATTACTGAACCGATTTTTATAAAATTTCTGTGGAATCAATCTGTAAGTATATCCTTTCAGATAAAATATAATTTTCTAAATCGGTTTACAACTGACGGAGTTATGAGGTAACAAACACAATACAAAAAATACAATCGAATTAAATATCTCATTCTTTTTGAACTCGGTTGATAATGAGATTAATTCTACTAATATTACAAGAGCATATTCCTTTTTAAAAGGCCGGCAGCACACCTGCAATGCCGTAGGTGTTGTGGGTGACCATGGGCGGCGGTAGTCACTTACCATTAGGTGAGCCGCATGGCTCACCTGATGTTAAGCTCGTTTGCCCCCTTAGTTGTAAAAAAAAAATGTAAAAGTCTGTAAAAATGTTTAGTTATTTGTTATTCAATCACGCTTACATGGGTGATTGAATTTGATTGCATTTTTACAAAAAAAAATTACAATTTTTTTTTATATTCTAACTTATTTCAAGGGATATAGTATATAGATGATATACTGATGCACGCGAGTAATCGTATCGACTCGATAGAATAAACTTTTTTTTTAATTAATCAATTAATTATTTGATTATCATAAGTAAATTTTTATAATCTTTATTTCCTTAAAGTATAGTTATAAATTTGTTATATAGATAATATATAGTGCGAGGGGGAAAGGGATTGTTAGCAATAGAGTTTGATAGCCCCATTGCTAGCAATATGCCCTATTAGGTCGACCTCCACGTGGTTCCCCCTGGAAACCATCGTGAATAATTTTTGTTGAATTCGTCACGATGTGCTAACTGACCTGCTTCATCCTCATCTATCATCCTTCACTGGTGCCCCGCCGGTGTATACCGATAGCGCGGGTGGGTTTACCATTCCATTTTCATCCATCAAAAAAAAAAATATATAGTGCGTTATGTAAATTTGTAAAATTATTTTAAAATCTATGTTTGTCTTTCATAAGAAACTGTCTGAACAAATTGTGAATAGGTAGCGTGTAACGAAAGAGGTCACGTGTATGCTGACAGCCACTGAATATTTGAAGAGCATAGGATGTGATGGCCAGCTGACAATCGTTTCGTGTAATATAGCCCACCTACAGTTGTACTGTGGATGTCTGGTTACATTATTCCAAATTGTACGGTTGTACACATTTGTCGAAAGGATTGCTAGTAACAGAGAGTAGTGGTCGTATTGGTTACCATATATAACCTGTTAGGTTAGTTTTTTTTTTAATGGATGATAATCGAATGGTAACCCCATTTGTGCTAACCGTATACGCTGGTGGGGTACCAGTGAGAGATGATAGGTGAGATGACAAAGCAGGTCAGTTAGCCCATCGTGATTAATACACCTAGAGTCCAGCACGATGATTTCATCTCATCACTTTGCACCGTCAATTAAAATTGAATGAAAAAAATGGAAAATTCCATTTTGTCTACGGTCGACTTTTAAATAACGCCATATAGTGTTAAGTCCGCCATTTACATAATTTAGGCGTATTGACTTTTAATAAATAAATATATACTACATAGTGTTTATCCCTGTGGTACCGTGTCCCAAGGATGTCGTTAGAGTATTTTGGCTAAGAGTACCTATTTATAAGATGCATTGCTACATAAAATTGTTATCAAACAGTTTAGTCCTTCGAGCCGGATATAGATTTAGAAAACTTCTTACGTAATACTTCTTATAACTTAGTTTAAAACAAGATTACTTGTTCCTGAAATCTGTAAGATATCTTAAAGAGATTAAAAGTTTACGAAGGAATGAACAATCTCTATTACGTAATTTGCCTTTATCTAACATAGGTATAAATTAGATGTGGCAAGAAAAAAATACAAGCTTTAGTAAATGAGAATCATCTTCATTTAATAAACATTCATTTAATTACTATTTTTTGTTGTTGCAGTGTTCGTAAAACTAGAACCAGATACATAACACAAGCAAAACAGTGTGGAAAGAAAAAATGCGTTGCAAAAGTTCCGAAACGCGAAGTAAGTTTATATTTATATGACGACTAATGAACTTAAGTATCGTTAAGCAGTTAAGAGGTCACGGACATGAACTACATTATATCAGAGCACATCAAAATGCTTTTAATAAGTTAAACAAGTTCTAAATAGCCACTATTTATATAGATTATAGATCTAATTTTAGGAATTTAAAAATATAGTGGCTTATTAAATAGACTGTAAAATTTTCCTCGTTTTTTTACAGATCTATTGGGAGACGGTAAAACGAACAGTCTGTTGTAACGGCTGGGAATACAAAAGCGACAAAGACATATGTATACCACATTGCAGTACAGGCTGCTTAGGAGGCCGGTGTACAGCCCCCAATGTCTGCAAATGTGACCCACCTTCGTACCTTGATCCAGAACATAGAAATGCCTGCATCAAACCAGTTTGTGATCCTCCCTGCGTTAACGCAGAGTGTGTCGCTAATAGCACATGTAGTTGTAAGAAGAATTTCACTCAATTTAATACAACTCATTGTTTCCATTGCGAACCTGGTTATTCTTTAGACTCAATATTCCAATGTAAACCTATATGTACGAAGAGTTGTGAAAATGGAAAGTGCACTGCTCCAGATGTCTGTACTTGCTTACCAGGTTTTTCGAAGCAAGGAATAAGTCAAGACTGTAAACCTGTTTGTCAAAAATGTGTGAATGCAAGTTGTACATCACCAAATACTTGTTCCTGTTTGCAAGGATACACGCAACTAAATAGCACACATTGTACCCCAAAATGCGACGATTGCGATGGGGTGTGTGTTGGCCCAAACAATTGCCAATGTAATGCTGGTTATTTAAAAGTGAATAATTCCTGTTTGCCGATATGTAACGAGACTTGTGTGAATGGTGTTTGTGCAGAGCCAAATGTTTGCTCGTGTTTCGATGGGTATATAAAGAAAGAAGGAAGCTCACACGAATGTTATAAGTCCTGCACCATGAACTGTACAGGAAGCTGCAATGCTCAAGGCGAATGCGTGGAGAAAAACTGCTATTTTACAGTACCGTAAGTATACTGTTTTCCTATATGTAAGTTCTATTAATGTGTTTTTAGGTGAGGAAATCGATTATGGAGGTTCTCTAGTCTCGGATAAGAGGTGTGGTTTTTCTTTTTTAAATAGATTGTGCTAGAGTCTTATATTACCTTGCCTCCTTTCCCTAGCTTTGAGGTTGATTCGTAAATGACTCTATATTTCTAGACACTGAAATAGGAATAGTTTTTTTTTCATAGTCATTAGAGAGAGCAATATAAATACACAGAGTACCCCCAAGGGGTGGCAACGCTTGAGGTCTCTAAATATGTTTAATTTGTTACTTTCTATTATGTGAGTTGTTATTATCTTTAACATCAAAAAAGAGTTTTACTACAGTAGAGCTATTGAACAAATATATCGAGCCGAGAGATCGAGTGTGTTGCCTACTTGGTAGTGGAGTCCACTCGACATCGAGTTAAGTTGATCGTTCAAGTGTTGAGATCGTTGTAGATAAAGATTTATTGATCCTACAGTGTCGTTGATGATATTAAATTTTACAGATTTTTTAATAATAATAATCTTTTTATTGAACTATCTATACTTACACTAATATTATAAAGAGGAAAGATTTGTATTTTGGTGTGTATGTATGTTTGTAATGAATAAACACAAAAACTATTTTGCCGATTTCAAAAATTCTTTCACCATTAGAAAGCTACATTCACCCTGAGTAAAATAGGCTATTTACATCTTTAGTAACGTAACTCAAGGTGTAAAAAAATGCTATAAAATATCTATCGTCTCGTGCGCTACGGAAACTATTGATGATAGAACAAAAGTATGTTCTACAATATTGAAGAAAATATCAATAACTATAAAAAACTTCCCAACATTATATGCCCAACTATTATTGTTATGTCATAATAACCATTTTCAAAATGTTGTAAAAATGTGATGTGTAAATGACATGTAGTCCTGATTCCCGAACTAGCGTTAACTACATGACAGGAGCCAGTGCCTTCCCAAGTTACAATTTAGTTATGTAAATATATAATTATGGCTAATTATATATTTACATCAATTAATAATATATATTAACATTATTTTATGGTCGTGTGGTCCCAGCATAGAATAGGTCACCCCTTCCTTTCCCGTGTCGTAAGAGTGAATAAAGGGAACTCATGGTAGATGGAATAGAAGCTCTTGAAACATCTCTAAAAGCCTAACTGCGGTTTCCAATTTGCCTGCTGAATATGTCAACTACTAGCGGAAAGATTTAAGTTCAGCAGTGGACAGTTAACGGTTGAATAGTTTTTTTATACAACTTAGAATGACAAACAAGCTAACGGCCCACCTAATGGAAAGTGGCAACCGTCGCCTATAGACATGAGCAGTACCATGGACATAACAGAGTATACTGTTTCACCTATGATACCCCCCATGCGTTGCCATTCCTGAGGGCTCAGGTGATATTCCTCTGTACCCTGTAAATTCACGCCATATCCCACCCTTCAAACCGAAACACAGTCATGCAAATACAACTGCTTCACGGTTGAAACACGAATGGGACAGAGGTACTCAAGCAAACGACTTTTGTACAGTTTTCCTCTGGTTTACACTCTTTTACTAGTTTTAAACGGTTTTAAACATTCACGGTATTAGAGTCAAGTAGAGTGAAACAATTCCTCAGGAATGGCAACGGATGGGGGGATCCGTTGCCATTCCTGAGGAATTGTTTCATTGTTTCACCCATGATACCCCCCTATCATGGGTGAAACAATATACTCTGTTATGTCCATGGTACTGATTGTCTATAGGCGACGGTTACCACTTTCCATCAGGTGGGCCGTCAACTTGTTTGCCATTCTAAATTGAATAAAAAAAAACTATAGCAATAAAGAGTAAGTAAATAAATAAATAACTATCATGGTTTAAAGGGGGACCGCGTTAAGGTCGACCTGACAGGACATATTGCTAGCAATAGGAACATTAAAGCTCATTACTAATGGTTCCTCTCTTCCATCGGTGCTCAATAATATAAGAGAATATAGTGCATTACTAAGTTTCGATGCACTTGACGATACGTAGATAAAGGCAGGATGTGATATTATGAATGCGATATTTGCCCGCCACTGTGTCCGGCGACATAAGCCGACAATCGTGCATCAGATTAAATTGCAATTTTTGAATAGCATAAATATCCTTTAAATCCGTAGTTTAAGTTTTATTTATTTATGTTTCTTCTTTTTAATATTTTTACATGTGACAAAGTAAAAAAAGACTTTTTGATAAAATTATAATAATAATTATTATTATTATCAAATTATCATTACGTGTTATGTAATGACGTAATAACATGTTATTACGTAAATACGTAATAACATGTAATGACATTTATTTTGTATCAAATATCTATGGATACGGAATTAGACATGCATCGGAAAAATATTTCTAAGAATAACTAGCTAACTACCTCTCAAGTTACTTTGTTTTAAATTAGTCACATTTTATAACATAAACAGGCCTATAAAATAATTTTCAATAGCTGAGAAGAAACGCCGAAAGACGAACAATGGGTTGACTTGACTATATCTGTATAACGAGACATTCATACGTGATATCCATGGCGCCTAATTGTGATGACTAATAAACAAACAGTGAAGTACTGTCCGGTGCATATGTAGCGGCAAATGCGAGAGCCCACCGCGGTGGCCGTAGCGGACACGTTATGAACACGCACGTACGTCTACACGTGAAATTATTCACACCACATTTTGTTTCGCCTATAAAAGTAATTGGGTGGAAGTGGCATTCATATACTTTTCTTTCTGAATGCTGCAATACCTCTAAAATAGACTCTTAAATTTACGCTTAATTTAATTTAAATTATAATTTTACGATACACACACACATACACACACACACACACACACACACACACACACACATATATATATATATATATATATACACATATATACGCATATATATTACAAGTTCACATATATTTATTTATAATTATAACATCGTAGTCGTCGAGAATGGTAACACATAAAGAGTACCACGGACGTTATAGTATACTTCGTGTTATTCATGATCCAGTTCATGTCTATAGCCGGTGGACAGCAGTTTCCATCAGGGGGGTTATCAGCTTGTTTGTTATTCTAAGTTGCATAATAATATCGATGGTAGGTCAAAACTGGAGATGAATCTTATAAAAACTGTTTAGTATTATATTATTTGTAATATGGTCAAAATTACAAGAAGAAATGGAAATCAGATTGTTCTATACACACTCACGCACGCACGCAAAGACACACACACACACACACACACACACACACACACAGGAAGAAATATGTATATTTATTTATTTAACTCTTTATTGCACCGTAAATAAAAATATACAATGACAAGTGAATAATTCAATATATTACAAGATACATAAGAAAGAGTGAGTCATACAAGTACGTTTTCATTGCAGTGTTTGTTACTTGAAAGTCTTTCCTTTTTAATCCTTATGACAGCAAACTGCACGAATCGTTTGTAAACATTAGATAATTGTTAAAAAAATTATATTACTTAGTACTATTGATTTGTGATGCGTAAATTACATGAACATTTCCACGACCAACAACGCCATTTGTAATTTAGTACCAAAAGACAGAACTAATTCATAATAAAAAAAAAATGTTCTTAAATCGATCCTCTATTGCAGCTGCATTACCAAAGAAATCTCAAAAAGGTGTTTGATAGCAAACGTCGTGGAGTTGTCGCAACTGCTTGCTCTTTTAAGGAAACACCCTCATGATTGATTTATCTCGTAATTGGCTATGGAGTTACAGAGCGCTACATTTGCTATTAGAATTGAATTCACGAAAGTGTCGCTTCCACCTGGATATTTATTTTTCTGGTTCCGATGTAGGATATGCACGCAAAAATTAGGCTCCAATTCTGGTACCTATTTTATAAAGCTGACTCAAATGCCGAGTAATCTTCTTCCGTATGAATTGTCCAATAATTTGCCTTATACATTAATATTTATATGGATCAGTTTGTATGGTAATCAGTTTTTAAAACCATTTGTTAGTGGCGTAGTTTTATTTAATAACATATTGGTAGAGCATACAGTATCACTTAATTTCGATATAGCCCGGTCCGGGTTGGCTGTTTTAAACCTAAAACAATGGCCAATATTGCCAAGCCAAATTGGAGCCTTATTCATTTGAAAATATGATAGATTTATAGACGTACTTATTTACGAATACTATTATGTATTTTTACAGTAATTCCTCCTGTTATAAAAAAATCTATTTTCCTGTTGACGGATACCGTTACTATACATAATGCATCTACCTACATATAGAGTTAGTTTCTAAGTAGATGTTCTTTGCATTGGAGACGAAGAGATTGTGAGCAATGGGGACTAGCAGCCCCATTGCCATGTCAGGTCGAACCTCTCGCGGTTCCTCTTGGAAACCATCGTGCTTAATTCCAAGCAAATGATTCATCACTATGAACTAATTGATCTGTCTTTCCATCCTTACCTATTTTGTCTCATCGGTCCCGCCGTAATGTATACTATTAGTGCAGGCGGTGTTACTATTCCATTCTTTACCATCCTCATCATGCCAGCCGTTAACTGGTCACTACTGGACTACAGTGTGGGTTTTATCAGTTGTTACCACGCTTGGCAGGCGGGTTGGCAACTGCAGTTAGGCTTTGGTGATGTTTTAAGAGAGACGCTACTGTCTATCTCTTGAATCGTTCATTAAGTTCCCCTAGTCACCTGTTACGACACCCATGGATAAATTACCATTTCATTATCGCCTACTATAAAAAAAAAAAAAAACTCTTTACAAAGTCGACATGATAATATTAATTGGAAAGACATGTCAAAATCAAGTCTTTCTGTGAATATGTTTTTATGGTTCTTTTTTTATATTTTTACTGAAAAACAGTATGTACTTATAATAATAATCCCTGATGGGGTAATTAGAGGCGTCTATTGACTATTTATATATATACAGGT